CTATCTATCTATCTATCTATCTATCTATCTATCAATTACCGTAATATATACCCCCCACCCCATAAAAACGCGGGGAGTCTAGAGGAAATGAGTTCTTGCTACAAACTCAAATTTTCCAATCCCTATAACTTTGCAACTGGGATGGTGCAAACCTTTGATAATTCAAACTTAGACGAGTACGATTTCGGGTCGCAAAGATATATGAATTACAAAATTCAAGTTTCTGGCAAAAAGGTTAAAATGATAGACAAATAAAGCTAGCTAAGGAATTAAAACTCATTCAAAAAGTGAGTTCCACTATATTTAACAATTCAAAGACGACCAAGTTTAATATTGGAACTTGGAAGCGATAATGTGTGTAAACCAACGCCGAATTGCCTCAAATTTTGATGTGGGAACTAGATATGACAAATGAGAATGTTATAATTTATTTATTTCTAAGATATATAAATTTAGCTTGTCTGGGTGGGTGCTTGTTTGTTTGACTGTTTGTTTGTATCCAATAAACGTCAAAACGGCTGAACCAATCAGGCCCGAATTTTGTGGGACCTCACGGGGCCTTAGGGAAGGTTTATGAATGATCAAAATTTCAGATACTTGTCTCCATTAAAATTTGATTTTCATTAAATTTTTGAAAATTTTGAAAATCCACGAAAGTTTTTGTTAATAAGTGAGAACTTTTATTGTTTTGTTTTCCGATGTACACAAAGAGACAATGTTCACAATTAAAATAGAAGATGGGACCTAAAAGGCTAGTAGTTTTATACAACGCATAAAAGGCCTCTTTACTATTTTTATCCCTTTTTAAAACTACGAATACATATTTTAGTATTGTCGTATACTCGAGCACTCGGTCGTCTACAAATTCAAAATTCTGATAGAATTTAAACAGATATTGATAAAACTGTGATAAAATCTTATCTCACTTTAATAAATCTTTTATAAAATCTAATAGAATGCTTTCAGTGCGAACATTAAGATGAATGGCCCTTTTTTGATGAAATAATTAAAAAATTATCCTTTTAAAACATTATTTTAAAGGGCAAAAATTTAAAACTGTGAAATATGGAAGATGACTTTTAGACTCAAGTTAAGTTGGTTTCAAGGTATTGGTAACAATATTGGGTTTAAAAACAACATCTTTTACACAAAATAATCACTTAAATGCCATCTTACTATGCCACAGTTTTGTGGAACTCACTGTATTATCTATTGTTGAATATATAAAAAGGTAAGGTAGGATTCTAGTTCTATTTCTACAGAAGAGAACAAATGTTTTCCAATTTCCAGATTACACTTGGGATTCCCTTCACCCATTCTAGAAATAAACAAACATCAGTTTTAACATTTTTAAATGCTTGTCGTTTCAACTTTTTATAATTAACTTATTCAAATCATATACACGGATAGAAACATCCTAACTCCTAACATTCATTATATCAAGGCCCAAGGGCTACACAAGGTATACGTTTAGGTTGGTACGATAACTTGACGGCCCTTTACGATAGTTAATGCTTATTTTTTTTTAGCGGTGTAGTAGTGAGCAAGCCAACAATTCTTGTAATATGACGGATATGTTAACACAGTAACTTGTCAAGTCTTATTTCAATTTTCATACAAATAGTTAGATTTGCAGAATCTATTTTGAATTCGGGGAGACGTATTGTAAAAAATGTATGTTATCTGACTNCCCCCCCCCCCTTCTAGCATAATGTGCAAATACTAAATAATATGCAATATGCATGTCTGAAAATCAAGTTTTGATATGACTGTGTTTTGTATTTAATTGAAACATATAACAATATAATTTTCAGGATATAAGAGTAGGGATGGACATGTTCCTGTTTTTATTTATTAATTTGTTCGTTCCTCGTTCATAAAACGAGAGCCTTCTGTTAGATTGCTCGTTCCTCGTTATAGAACGAAAGCCTTCTGCTAGATCATTTGTTCCTCGTTCTGTAGAACGAGAGCCTTCTGCAAGATCTTTCATTCCTTGTTCTAGAACGAGAGCCTTCTGCTACATCGGTGGTTCCTTGCTCGTTCTTATTCCAATTATTCTATCCACGTTCCGTTCTTTGTGTTCTTGATCGAGAATGGTTCCAAGGAACAGGTTTGAATGGGTTGAGAGGTGGGAGGTTCTGTTCTGAGTAAGGGAGGGTTTAAGTAAAGAGAGGTAACACGGCGATTCACATGCCAAACTGACAGAATTTACAATTATACAGACAAATTAAAACTCTAACTGAAACATTTCTAGATGACTTAGAACGCGTTTCAAATATCCCCGCCCCTTGTATCTTGGTGTTGATTACCCTCCCCCCCACCTTAGAATCTTGCAGATAATTACCCCAGAACAATTCAGGCCCTGAATAGCAGGGATTACTCCACTTATTGCCCCTACAAGTTACAGTTGCCCCCTCCAAAAAAAGCATTCCCTAATCAGTCTGCTTTTAACACCTTTAAAAAATTTGTGTATAAAGACGACTATTTTCATGAAAGTAGAAGTTTTCTAAATGATTCTCAATTCAAAAGTAATAGTCAAGGTCATTACAACTAGATGTTTTTTTAATAGATAAATTAAGATTTGGTAAAAAAAAGAAAACCCGCTAAAATTTATTAAGTTTTCGAGTTCTTGACCAAATAGAATTCTTCTAGATTTGTCTAAAATTTGTGTGAAATAATTTTTCAAGAAAAAGATTTTACATTCTTTTCTATTTTCTTTTTTTGAGTCTTGAAGATATTGTATTCTTGTTATTCATGACAAGAATTTAATTTCGCTGTTTTCACGAGTTTGACAATTTTGTAGAAACATAAACATGAAACATTTTTTGAGTTTATTGTTTGTTTTGTACAGCTAATGTAGATGCAAGTGTTTCATGTCATGAACATAGTTTNCATGCCCCCCCCCCTGTATACGCCCTTGACTTGTGAACATTTATTATTTTCAAAAAGCAGAGCATTTAAGACGTTTTTGGACTCTACAACGAAAATTTTGACTATTCTACAAATTTCATAAATGATTCCAATTACATGTAAAAGTATAAAGGATATGAACGAACTTCGAAAATTTCTAAAATAAAATTTTTAAAGGTGTGCTAAAAAAATGGTTCAATTTTAACAAATTGGTCAGGGGACCTTTAATTAAGAGACTTTTACAGACATTAAGAGCAACAAATTTGAATTACCTACACGCTTAAAAAGGTATCAGAAAAGATTTGAAAAAATTTATTCCGAAACTGGGTTTACTTGTTTCATTTATTTTTGTTTTTAAGTTTCATACTCCGGCCTGAGGTTTACTTGTTGTCTCTGTCTATCTATCTATCTATTTATAATTTATCTATCTATCTATCTATTTATCTATATATCTATCTACCTACCTATCTATCTATCTATCTATCTATCTATCTATCTATTTTTCTATCTATCTATCTATCTATCTTTGTATCTATCTATCTTGTTTTCTGTCTATATCTAACTATCTATCTTTCTAATATACGTTGGTGTGAATTTAAATTTTGAATTATGATGCTTAATATATTTCTTGAATTAAAGAATTTAGTTGATGTGTGACTGCAGTGTGAGAAGATATATTTAATTGATTCAAGAATTGCATCGTTGTGTGTAAGTGAAATCTTGAGAAACATAACCCCCTCTAAATGATTCT